CCTCTTTTTATATGTCGCGTTTAATTAATTATTCTCAATAGAACGCAAATGTTAGATTTTAATAAATAGTGACGAGATTCCTAGAGTGGAGAAATTAAATTTCGTTGAGCGAGTCGTTTATCACCAATTTTGCTTAAAAATAGTGTTCAGTGAGGCATGCCTTTGGGACCAATTTAATACAGAACTTTGTACAGTTCGGTAAAATAAAAAAAATTTTGACTACTTTGTAGGATTTCCTTGTTCTGTTGTTCAAGTTCACTTGCTGTCTGTCTATTGGAATTTCAGAGAATGACATTTGCTACAAAACTGCATAGCTAAACAAGTGACCTATATAAAGTATTGATAATGTAGCTAAACAGACTAACTGCTTTTTATCTGCTGTGTCGTTTTTATTAATGGCTAGGAGGCAGACATTATGTCAGCCAACAACTAAAATAATTACTACTTGGTATTCTGATTGATGACTTTGCAATACGGCGTTCACTTATTGAGAATAAATTTAATGTTTTTTTTTTTTTTTATTTTGCGACCTGGCTATCAAAACAAGACAGATAGTGTCTCTGACATGATAAGTCAAAACATCTGGTTTATTTTTGGTTGATACGATATTCATGAATGGGCCCACCAGTGCGTATCCCCCATATTTTGACATTTCGATCAATTATGACTGACGAATGGATAAGATGCTTTTAATTTTGAAATGTACGTGATGCAATACAATGCTTGTAACAACCAGTTTCTGTGGATTAATATTTAATGTATAAAACAATTGCAAAATAATTAAATACAAAACCGGCAATGCTGGTGTGAATTTGTTTTTTATAAAATATTTATAAATTTTTATAAAATTTAAAAAAGAAATTGGGAACAACCTAGCGTGGATGAATACCACCCATATAGCGGTCAGTCAGTTTCGACTTGTCATTTGACACTGGTTGCTTTCGCAATTTAATGTTGAGTGCCAAAGGATAATTTTACTACTCGTACTTGCATTCTTTTTAAATATATTTCAGCAAACGAATCTCTGTAATTTCAAACGTTTTAAACAAATTTGATGGGATCTATTTTTTGCGTTCATAACAGTAAATTGATTGAAGAAACCCTGCAGGAACTTGTAGGTTACGAATGTTACCACAGCTAATGAAAGCACCGGCTTTGCATTTGAATAAAGCGCAAAGATTTTTCCGGGATAAATGTTTTATAAATATATACAAATTCATGCCTTCATGAAACTTGGTGTAAAACCTTTTAAGAGGTCAATAAAATAAATCCAGATCAACTTACCATCATTACCTAAGATTCATAGGTTTGAAAGAAAGTGTGAAAAGTTTGTTATCGTCTGAGATTTTCAAAACACAGCACAGGGACTTTAATAGATTGAGAAATGTCCCTAAAATTTTATCAAAATACACTTTTTATACCGTGGCCAACACTACCAGTAATTCAGAAACGAATGTTCACCACTGGGTCATGAAAGCCACAAAGAATCACTTGATGAAAGCCTACATAACTTTTGCAGTTCTTATTAGACTAAAAAAAGAATATTAGAATCTGCATAAAAAAAGTATTATTTGCTTTCCTATTTGGAAACTACCAGCTACATATACATCATTTAACTATGAGAGTAATAGTTGCATGAAAATTTGTTAAAATGGTATGGCAAATTTGGGGGATGGAGTCTTTTTCTTAGATTTTTATCAAATTCTGATTTTAAGGAGAAAAAACATGGTAATTTGTTTGACATGTAGTGTACGTTCAAACATACACATCTAACTTACGTTGTGACGACGCACATTGGATTAACTTTTAATATAGTTGAATTAACTTTTAATATAGTTGCGTTATGTTTGGATTAAAACACGACTCTATATAGGGTTGCGATTTAGCTCAATTATATTGCAATTCAACATAGAATTGCATTTTAATTCAAGTTTAATTGAATAAAAATGCAACAAAGTAGAAATAACATCATACAACCTGTTACTTAACATAGAAATATTTGCAAAGCTTAGGGTTAATAAAGGGGGTATGGTACATTCATATTAAATTTACTAACTCTCTTTTTACTAACATAATCTACGCAAACTAGACTTAAATTTGATTAAATATTAATATAAATTATGAAATTATTGTCGTCACTTGGTAGGTGTAAATGTAAATGGAAGTCATCACAACGTTGATAAGACAAATATACACACATACACAGCCCCAGTTGCAATAGGTGATTTTCCATTCAACTGCGAGATCTCGCGAGTTGCATTAAAGACCCGCGTCGAACGTCTGCCGCAAAAATCAAACGATTTGATTTTGAACTTGAATTTCTTTATTTCGTAGCTCACAACGACCGACCGATCTTCGACAGAGGAATAGTTCATTTGAATACCCTCACTTAATCGAAATTGCCTATCATCAAATGTGTACAGCATGGAAATGTCCCCCAAAATACTTTCGCGTTTGTCGAATCCCACGCGATGTTTGATGCCACTACGACACTATGACCTTTGTTTGTCCTATTTTTACGTTCAATTTTCTTGAAAAAATGTCTCTGAAATGGTAAATATATTATCAGTAACAGCTCCCAAAAAAAAAAAAATGTGAATGGGTTGATGGTAAACAGTGCAGAGTGCAATTTATGGAAATAAATTTGTCTTCACCTTATGAAAATTCAATTTATTAATTTTAGTAATATTTAAAAAAAAATTCTTAGCATTTGCAAATAACCACTCATTTAATAAATATGATATTATGGGATTTGTGTGATCTCCTGTATCTATAATATTGTTACACCAGCTTCAAAACTGTCACACTTTTTTCACTAAAGAGCGAAATTCGTGAAAAAGTGTTAGCGAAATTTAAACGGTTTACGGTATTTTGGTTAGCCTCGAACATTGGCGTAGTTCGATTTCCTCAACCCCATTCCATAACCCATCGATGGCCTTGGTACAATGCTTGTAATATTTTATTATTCATATAATTCAACCAATCAAAATTCTGAGATATTGCTGGCTTTCGTACCTAGGCATTGAAGTGGTTGTATAATGAGTGAAACACAGCATAGATTTTATTACATATGTATATTCTACATATTATCATGCTCTAAATAGTACAAAGACTTCACTTAACGCTACAATTATTTATTCAATAACTGGTATCCGAAATAGTACCCTGGTAGATGTATATTTAGCACTGCTTGAAAAGTACATTACAGCAACACAGTTGCAATGTATCACATGTTCCTAATTCAACTTTTTTTTTTCACTCTATTGTCGTTGGAAATGACCGTGCAGAGTTATATTCATATTTGTAATATTGTCATCGTTGCCATCCGTCAATTTTTACAATATCAACTTCTTCTTTGAAACACTAAGACAGATGGATTTTAATATGCACAAGACAAATTTGTATAATCCTCCACAATATCGGTATGATTTCATCAAATAGTTTTGTTAATTTTTCACCTCAATTTTCCCTTCTCGAAAACTGTAAGACTGATTGCTTTTTGTACAGACAAGTACAAAAGTGACATGTTTTACGGCTTCATATCTGATTCATGGAAAATCAACAGGCTCCTGTTTTAAAATGTCAACTGAAATGGCTAACTGGCGTACATTACTTCGAATGCTGACAATAGAATACTGTTTATTCTTGCTGATTTTCAATTTTTGTATTTTGATAATTTAAATGTTTCAGTTCGCACAATTAAATATTTTCCAATAGAAGCACACCAGTAAATACTGGGTCATTAGAATATATCCTATTGTGACACTAAGTACTGCTTTCATTTATGTGATCATATTATAAGCTACTAATAGAGGGAATATGGTTTACATAGTTAATTTCTATATTTTAGCCTGCTTTAGCTGAAGTCAAAGCAGTCACTTGTGGTTTGGGTTCAATCGGTTTGTCCATAATCATTTCTTAGACATGTCTTGACCGATTTGATTCGAATCTGGCACAAAGGCAAGTTATAATCGGAAACATGTGCAGTTTTCGTTCCACTGACCTTTGAGAACACTAAAAATTCACATTTGTCATC